TGATAATATTTCTCAGTCATATAAAAATTAATGAATTTGCAAGCTTCAATTTTGTGGTTGAACTTTATATTGATATATTTTTATTATGGCGTTTATTTTTTACAAGGTTTTAATTTTAAAGCGTTACATTGAGATTTCACACTAATATATTTTATCTTTTCACTTGTTTAAAAATGTAATATTTATATTGGTAAAATCATGATCTGAAACTGTACCGAACCGCAAAAAATATATTGGCTTGGATTTTTTTTTAAAACCGTTTAAAATGACTCAATTTAAAAATAAATAAAAAATGGCACAAATCCAATTGTGATCGTCCCTAATCACCACTACTCTCCATTTTTGTAATTCAATCAAATGAGCCATCTTTTTTGGCATTGCACATACACATACTCACAATACTTCTATTGATCACTCTCAATTCCAGTCATTCACTCAATGCATGGATTAAACTTATGTAAATATAGAGGAGTGGAATTGCAACCCTCAATTTTTGGGACAATTCTTCTGGAACACACACATATAGATGATGGAAATATAAAATAGAAGATCCCATGTCTGTCAACTAAATCGGTGATGATTTTTAAACTCTCGCTTTTAATCATTTCTAATCACGTCAGAACTCTTTGAATTTTGGAAGCACCGAGTCCTTTGGTCTCATTTTGCTTATCTTCTTTCATTGTCCTACTACATTACTTATGTCAACATTCTTCTTTAAATATCTTTGGCTTTTTAGTAATCTTATCTTCTTCCATTTTTGAATTAGAATACTTGAAATTTTAGTTTCTTTTCTTCTTTAGCTGTTGCCATGGTTGTGAACTCGCTTGTAATTAACCTCTTCTTCTTGTCTATGTCGATCCTCCTCCAATGTTGTCCAATGTTTACAAGTTTGCCAAAGACTACATGCTGCTATTCCAGGCTCTTCTCCATCACTCGTCTCCTCTAGGTTCTTGGATTTCTGAGGACTGTGTACAGGGACAAAGTTAGAATTGTAAACCTAAAAAACACAATTATTTTTCGACCCAAAAAATATTCCTTCAATTTAGCAAAAGAAAATGAAAAACTAAACTAACCGTCACAAGATTTTTCTTGATATCATGTACTTTCTTCAAACTTCAAAATATATTTTTTTCTCTATTATTTCAACAACATATTTTTCAATAAAATAATATTATACACAAATTCAAATTTTTTCCTTATTTTTCAATTACACATTATCCATTAATCTATTATTTCAAAATTCATTCTTCAGAAAAAAATGAGGCTCAAACAAGCTCTACATAAGTTTTTCTTCCCAAAATCATATAACTAGAATTTATTTAATTTGTTGACCAAAAATTTGAAATTGAGTGTAAGACAGTTGACCACAATGAACCCATACTAAATTCTCCCTTGATTGCGTAATACTTTGCTAGTTCTCTCGACATCTTTTCTTTAGCCCCTGTTTGATACATATTATCTTAAAATACATTCTTTTAAAACCCATTTTCAACCACACATTCTGTAATAAAATAATATTTTTCATCACATCAATAATTTTTTCTTACTTTTTAACCACATATTTCTCATCATATCACTATTTAAAATACATTATTTCCTCAATAATATCCATCAAACATTTTGTTTTCAATTACTATTTAATATGATCGTTCTACCCCTCAGGTGTCCATCATGAAGATACTTCTTCGAACATCATGTTTCATGATGTGTAGCCATGGGTGGACCTAGGGGCATAACTGTTTAATTTTTATTAAAATTTACGAAAAATTTGATTTTAATCTCCACCAAATATGGGCAAAATCATAATAAATTTGAATTTCGATAACATGCTAATTTTAAAAATTCTCTGACGATCGTACGCTAATCGAATCTACAAATTACTTATGTCATCTCAAAACTTATTTCGAGAACTACATTATGGGCACATCGAATAGTCCAAACAGATATCGAAAATAGTTAAAAATACGTTAAACGTGAGTTTTAAAAAAAGACTTCTAACTCGCATTTTTTAAAAAAAATTCAATTATTTCATTAACATTTATTATTTTTGTTTCATTATTTTATTAGGAAATTTTATATGGAATATAACATCAAAATTTTTTGAAATTTTACATCCAAAAAAGTCATATTCTATGTAAATTTTCGGATGTAAAATTACATAGAGTATGATTTTTTTGGACGTAAATTTTCGATTGTAAAATTTCTTTGCAAGTTCGATTGTACCCCCTAACTTTTAAGATCTGTGTCCGCCCTGTGTGTAGCAGTAGTTTCTTGTAGGATAACAACATCTCCATCCTCTCATTTGAAAGTGCCCCACTGAACATACATGTAATTGCCTTTCTGATGAACTTACTCCAAAGTGATTAGGCACGAATGTGTCACATGCAACCAAATATTGGAAAGTGACTAACTGTGGGCTTAATCTTCCACAGTTTTTTAAAGGGTTACATGGACCCTTACCTTGATTGTGAAATCCTATTGATCACGTGTTCCTTTCCTTGTATACTCGCCTAAAACTACGCACTACATTCTTCACATATGGCATACTTCATTATGTTTATGCAAGGTGTCGACTTTTCCTTTCCTCTTCACAATTTTTGTTGTGGAGTGCTTGAACTTGTCAACTAATGACATTTTTTTATGTTCTTTGTAAATTGGGAGAATTCTCTAGATATATACTCTTCCCCATTATGCGTGCTTATGTGTCTAATTTTATTTCTAACTTCAACTTCAACTTTTTTTTTGTACTCCTTAAATTTTATAATAGTCTCAGATTTTTCTTTTATAAAGAAAATTCAAACATACATTCTAAAATCGTCCATGAATGTCAATATATGCACATTTCTCGAATTGATGGTCGTATGATAGGTCCAAAAACATTAGATTGTATTGCCTCTAAAGATTTATTTGCTATGCAGTTCAACTCCTTAAATAGTAGCTAGTGTACTTTATAGTGTTGACAGTCGACACATATGATATCATCATTGAACTTGAGTTGATGGAGAGACTTGAGCATTGACTTCATCATCATTATCTTTGTGACGAGTCATAGATGGAAGCGACACGTGGCACCATATTTTTAGCAGTGGGACCAGCTTAATTAAATCAGTGTATATTTTCCTAGCGTCTGACGTGGATTCCGAGGCCTTGATTTATTCCGAGGCCATTATTGTTAACTACAGCCACAGTTCGATGGACGTGCACTGTCCGAGGCCCTTTTTCGCAACTAGTGAAGACCCAGATGTGAAGATTCACTCATGATGAAAATCTTTATTTGAATGATTGACGTGACTTACGTGTAAAGTATATTGGTGTCTTGTCTTGTCAATGTAAGAACAATTAATGTATTGTAAGGCTATNTTTAATGCTTTGTAAGGTTAGGAGAGTCAACTTGAAAGTTATGACTTGATGTCTTGACTGAGAAGATGAAGCCACATGTAAATGGATCCAAAGATCACCATTTGAGTTGTAACATTATAAATACCTCCACCATATAACACGAGAAGACTAATGAAAATTTTGAATAAAAATCTAAATACTTGGAGCAATATCTCTCTCTCATTTAAATAGTGACTTCTACAACATATTTTCTACTACAAATTGTTCTTTATCGATTGGTTTCTTATACAATCGAGTTACATTTATCTTGCCGGAAGTTTAAACGGAAATGTCTCGTGTCTCTGAGCCACTCTCACGTTCATTTTCTAGAGTTAACTTGACCGTTGATCGGCATTAACGTGTTGGATCAAACTTGCGTGTACACGAGTGGACCCGGCATATGTTGACAACATTTTTTGAGGTCAACAATCTTCAACTTAAGGTTGCTCACATGTCCTCGTCTCACGTGCCATAAATTTGCAGTGTTATTCTTTTGAATCGTATCTATGTACTCGAACTCAAACACAACGTAAATGAATTCTAATTTTCATCCTTTCATTATTGGTGAACTCAGAATTTGATATTTTGGTACAACTTACGTCTTTCGATTAAACCAGAAGATAGTCACCTGAAGACGTTAGATGCACCACCAATATATTGAGGACCAAAATATTTAATATAAAAGGTTAAGAACAAAATGCAATAAAAGCAATAAAATGGGGACTTTCGCTGCTGTTTTACTATCATTTTCGAATTGCTGTCAGAATTTCAACAAATGCTGCCGTGTTTGGTTTGTTTTTATTTTATTTATTCTTTGCCCTTTTTCAATAGAAAATCGTTCTGTAGCCACAAAGCAGAACTGAACCAATCTTGCGATATTTTTTTCAGACAAGTGCATGTGTTTTTTTGTGTTATCCCCATCTTTTGAAGGGCGATTGCAATACACCTCCCAGAAAAAACAAAGAACGTGAATTGATTTTATTGCACGCTCTTAAAACGCGATTTGTAGACAAATACAAGCGGAGATTAAATCGCTGCATAAGTTGCGGGGAATAGACAAGCGTGGTCGGAATGAAATTGAAATTCATCACAAATGCAAATTCAACTCAAATGAAGTGGAGATTCATTTTAAATTCACGCGTATTCAGTTGTGTGCAACCAGCGTAGAAGTGGAATGGAATACTTGCAAGCTCCTATATAGAGAGAGAAAATAAGGACATTTAGACAGAGAAAGTAATCACCTGTATAAACACTCCAACAAGCAGAGATTTCGGCTTCAGCTTTGTTGTTTTCGTCCCCACTGTAAAGGGACACTTCACCGCCAAATGTTGGGGATAAACTCTTGCTGACGTGCTTCGACCCTTGTCGGTAAAAAATGCCTTTTTTTGTTTTCTTTTTGAAATTCCAATGCTTAGTTTAATTATTTTTTAATCTGCTTGTTTAGCTTGGGAAAGATCAAGATTTTTTTTTTTTATTCATTGGGGGTTTTAGTATTTTGAAGATTAGTTTTAATCTGGGATTTTTAGGTTCATTTGGGAATTGAGCGGTGGGTTGAACTGAAAATTCCAGAATTCTAGTTAAGTAAGTTTATATAGTGTTGAATTCGAGTAACTTTTAAGCAAATGGGTGGTGATATTGAGCAAGTTAATGGTGATTCTGTACAAAGGCTTCAATCCTCGATTGGAACATCATCATCTTCACTTGCTAAACGACAGCAATCCATTCCAGTGAATCAACTAGACATACCACAGTTGAATGTTCTGCAATTTCGGGGTCAGATGCCACAATTCTCCCCCAATTTCGGTGTTGAGAATAATAGTAAGAGGGGCGGTATACCACCTTCTCATCCGCAAATGCCCCGTAATTCCCCTTACTCACAAATCCCTGTAACCTCTCATGTTAATTTGCAACAGGGTCAGCAGAATTTTAGTCCTAGTTTGGGGCAGTCACACTTGCAATCTTTGTCACAACCGCTCAGTTCCTTGCCGCCTTTGAGCCCTCTGCCTTATCTGTCCACTGCAATGGTGGACCAAGTTTATGGTGATGTTGCAATGGATGAGAAGGATGCTAATTCACATTCGTTGTTGCCTCCCTCACCATTCACAAGAGGTAGTGTGTCGAGGACAGGGGAGACTTTGCCTCCACGTAAGGCACATAGAAGGTCCAATAGCGATATCCCATTCGGAATTTCTGCTTTTACACAACCTCAGTCATCATCTATTCTGCTGGGGAATCCTGGTGCTCTTGAGAGGTCAGCGTCTGCAAGAGAGAATATAGGAGCTAAGCCAGTGCAGTTAGTTAAACGGGAGTCTTGTTGGGAGAAACGCAATGAGAGCAATGTGGAAGGGATGGGGGAGAGGAAATCTGAAGGGGAAGTTGTGGATGACCTGTTTTCTGCCTACATGAATTTGGACAACATTGATATGTTGAACTCGTCTGGTACCGATGAGAAACTGGGTTACGAGAATCGCGAAGATTTGGACAGTAGAGCGAGTGGTACAAAGTTGACTGGGGGTGATAGCAGTGATAATGAAGCCACGAGCAGTGTTAATGAGAGTGGCAACCATACGTGGAAACAAGGAACATCTTCATTGACTGAGAAAAGGAAAGGAATCGAAAGGAGTTCTGGAGGTGATATCATTCCGACCACCAGACACTGCAGGAGTCTCTCCATGGATAGCTTTATGGGGAACATGAACTTTAGTGATGAGTCACCAAGATTGCCTCCATCTCCTGGAACTCGCCCAGGACAACTCTCACCAACCAATTCAATTGATGCAAACTTCAGCTTGGAGTTTGGGAATGGTGAGTTTAATGGGGCTGAGATCAAGAAGATTATGGAAAATGAAAAACTTGCAGAGATTGCTTTATCTGATCCCAAGCGGGCGAAAAGGTAAAAGTATCCTTCACTTATATCACGCGACATCTGAACATACTTTATCCCTTTTCCCTTTCATGTGCATAGTTGGTTGATCTCTAATGCCTAAGAAGTTCATATTTCTTGCAATAGAATTTTGGCAAACCGTCAATCTGCTGCTCGTTCAAAGGAGCGTAAGATGAGATACATTGCTGAGCTGGAACACAAGGTCCAAACTTTACAGACTGAAGCAACAACATTGTCAGCCCAGCTTACTTTGCTGCAGGTTATAATTTTTAGTGCTGTGATTATATGAGCCTTTATCTTTCTTTCGTCTCTAAAAACTGGTTCTTTTTATTCAGCGGGACTCTGCTGGACTGACAAGCCACAACAGTGAGCTGAAATTTCGCCTGCAAGCTATGGAACAACAAGCTCAACTCCGCGATGGTATACCTTTTTCACTTTCTATGTACCATTTCATTTGCTAGTTGTAATATGCTGAGAGACATCTTCTGCTACCAAGTAGCATAAGCATTACGATCTTTTTTTTCATGATCCCTTGCATAATTATGGTTGTTATAGCACACATACCTTTAATTGGGAATTCTATGAATAAAAATGGGCAATTATAGTCTACTCTTTGGTGCTGGCATGTGTACTTGAGTTTCGTAATTTGCTGCTTCTTGTTTGGACATTGGTGCCACAACTTGGAAAATGAAAGGATTGTGTCCTTGTTAGTTTCAATGATGGCCAGGTCCCATTAGCTGCTCATGGATCCTTTTCTGCTTGGAATTTTCAAGGAAATGATGAACATCGAGAAAAAAGATACGAGTTCGAGAATCTGTGTGCGATTTATGTTGCCTTTTCAGTGGAAGGATTTGTGAAGGGATTGTCAGGGTTGATAATTATTTAATCCATTGCAATAATTGGCAGCAATTGTTCGTATGGCTTTTAAAATGTTTTATAAAGAATCTAATTTTGAAGTGTTCTCATGAAAATGATCTGGTTATTGGGATTGTACATTGAACTTCATTCCTCTTCATTGTTAGTTTAGGCTTGTCAGATCAATTTTCTTATTTCAGATGATATGAATATCTTGAAAGGTCACTTATTTATTTGCAGGTCTAAAACGTGATTTATGATATTCCTTATGCGCTATCTTTGATTATTTTGGTTGTCTTGTGACAGCACTTAATGAAGCGTTAACAGCCGAGGTGCAACGTTTGAAGCTTGCATCTGCTGAACTTAGCGGAGATCCTTCCAAGTTTCAACAGCTTTCTATTAATTCCCAGCAGTCCCAGCAGTTCCAGTTACGCCAACAGCAGGCAACTCGACAGAACATACAACAGCAGTCCCAGCAACAGAATGGCGATACATCTGCCCAGCAGGAATTGAAGCATTAGCTTTTTACGATGTGATGGCAGCAGTTGATCTCATATTATTTAATTTATTGGTTTTCACATACTAAGCAATTCTTGCTTATTAATGCATTCATTCATTAGTTTGCACTTTCATGACATGTTTGATACAGGATTGTGTACTGAACATGTTTGTCCTGCATGTTCGTCGCATCTATTAGTACACAAGATTTTATGTTTAAGCCTCAAATTATACTCTAGGAATGATACTGTATCTATTGAATATGTTTTGTGGGGGATTAGTTTTATCATAGTGATTATTGAGTACCAAATGGTTATGGCATTTGTCTTTTCTTGTTTGCTCTTACTGTTGGATTGTGCCCCTTTACTTAGCTGAATCTGAGTGCTTTGAAGCCCAATTGTAAAAGAAGAATAAAACTTTTCAGAGAAAGGCCTACATGTTTTCATTTCAGATTAGAGTAGACATCGATGTTGTGGTTGATCTATTTATGTATGTGTTGCTTTAGTTAAAGCATTGCCAAGCATTGAAACTCAAGGATTCTATTTTAGTAACGCAAAGAGGATAATATATTTACAGCATCTCAGGATTTGTGCTACCAAACCATCAAACTGGATGACATCGACTTGTAACTCATAATATACCACACTAATTGGCTAAGATTGGCCAGTGGTGATTCTATGGAACTTGATGGACCCTTAATTTTTGACAACCGAAATTTTTCTATTATTTTCTATTCCAAGTGAAAGGAATCTTATCATTGAAGAAATCGAATATGAACAAGAATCTTTTCTTTTGTCGATATTTATTTAAAAACACTATCGTTAAGGCCAGAGGAGGCGCTTTAACTGTTAGGCAAATTGTTGTCAAACGACCTCCCCCGGGCGATGATGATTTACGTTGTATTAATTCAGTCGGCATAGTCCAAATGACTGAAAGTTAATCGAACACCACAATTGGTAAACCGACCCTAAACCGACTCAAAACTTGGATGGCCCACCTATGTTTCTACTTGGGCCTT